GTATTACTTGGGGTTGGTTTTCGAAACTCAATTGAAAACTGCCTCCATCGATTAAATTAATTTTCTTGTTGATCTCTGTGCAAACCTTAATCCGCAGAACTACAAGCGGAGGTGGTTTAGTCTGAAGCAAATATCAAATGATGGCTCGTACATTTTGGAATACCAGAAGGTGATAAAGCTGTTTTTTGCATGAAATGCAGTAATTGTTAGAAATAAACAGGTGACATAGCTTTAAGATTAACGATGATAAAGGTAAGTTAAGGAAATCATATTCACTTGAGCGGTGCATTTCTTGATTTATGGGTAAAAGAGCTGTTTTGGAACCCGCGTTTTTTAAATTGCACGAGCCGTTTTAATCAGAACGAGATATTTTGTTGGATATTTATTGACGGTATTTACTGATGACGAGAACGAGTACGACAACGTCATACACAACGATAACTAAAAACCATGATCAGGGCTTTCAATAACTTTTACCATAAGCGGCTGCCGATGGTTTAACAGGCGGCTGTGCTTGGGAAAAGGGGCCGAAAGGCGAAAACCAAACACGAGAGGATAAACAGACGGCGGTAAGAGGCTTACAGGCGGCGGTAGACTGCTAGTAACTTTCTTTCACTGAAACGCCGGCATGACCGTAGCGAGGAATAGATGATTGTTAAAACGATTATTTTAATGGGAAAAGAATAATAACCACAACAGTTATCAGGGTTCGCACAGGTCCTGAAAACCTCAAAAGTCGTGGAATTTTATTTTGACATTTTCCAAGACTTTCCAGTCCTGGAAAAAGACAACAGGTCCTAGAAAGTCGTGGAAATCTGCTTAACTCAAGCATTAAATTTTTCAGAATTTAGGTTGTTAGAAATTTATATAGACCGTAAAGCGTATCGATTTTGAAATCTTGGGAATGATAGGGTTTAAGGTGGAATTTGAAGTCCTGGAAAAGTCCTTCAAAATTTGTTTAATCCTGGGTTATGACTTATGCTTTTGGTGTCTTACTCAGGATGATCTCTGTACCAGTATGGCAAGAGGGGTGCTCTATTTGGATGCGTGTACTCACATTACTAAGGTAACGTTTATTTTTTTTGTAGTATCATCATACGACAATGACGATAACGCTAAGGCACTCCACATGTAGTTACCTTTGGGCCAAGATTCGCGAAATAACAAAGAGTAACTCCCAGACCTTGAGAAATTAAGAAGAAATATCAGACTTGAGATTGAAATAACATACTTTGAATCTTAAATCCCGAAGATTGACTAGTTACTAATTTTTCCTGACGGTATCAGCGCAGAATAAAACATTAAGAACACGAGAATGGAGGAAATGATTGCCAACTAAGAAACTCTCGATTGATAAACAGATTCTCTTATCAGGACAAAAGGAAATGTATAGAAAATAGCAGGGGGAATATGCTCACTGATGTTAGGGGTATAAAGGCTTAAACGAGACCTCGAGGCTCATCGAAGGGCTTGGTCACGAGATTTAGAGATCAGTCAAAAAGTTTCCGAGACTCGGCAGTTTTTAACACTTTATTCTATAGTATCAGTATGTATATTCTCCATACTGTTCTCTGTACGTTTCTTATGATATCGACAAGAAGAATTTGTTTGAAAGTCAGTATCTTCCTAGCTGGTAGTTGTTTCGTTTAGTCTTGTAACCTTAATGTAAGATTCAGTAGTGATACCTTACTGAGAAGTTGGATTTAAGTCACTCCTAGAGGTTAAAGAGTTTATAAGTACCATGTGCCATTGCTATAGTTTGGATTTCAAAAGCCTGTGAATGCTGGATTGGTGAATATGTTTGTAATACTCAGGGCGATAGTTGCTAACTGATTAATAATGACAATAGGACCGAGTAGAGTCCAATCCAGTCTGTTGTCATACGAGTGATTACAAAATCGGCCGACCGCAAAACGAGAGTTAAATTTGTCAATCAGGAGTATGATTACAGAACAAATTGGACGCCAGAAAGTCCTGTTACCAATAAATCGTTACCATTAAAATTTCCGAAAATGACAAATACATTTGTTGGAGATAATATCTCCGTTAGAGCCTTCTCTCAAGTTAGAGTTCCTCCATTTTGGAAATTCTCAGTTTTGTAGGGTTAGTGGTTGTTGCTATGGTTATTGTAATCAATTCTGGGATTGGTGGATTTAGTTCAGTGGACCAAGTATGATTGATCCGATTACAGCCAATAGTCTGTTTACACTGTCCGATTACAACTTTGCAGAATGATATATGAAAAATAAAACAGTCAATGCCCCAATCACATTTTAGGAAATTGTAATGGTAATGGTTATCACCTATATTTCAGGGGGTGAAGGGACGAATGTACGGATTTGAACTTCACATTCAAGACAAACTATATTGCTTGGTTGCTGACAGTCAATCGGAGATGGACGCGTGGATTTCAACCCTGTGCAAAGTCACTGGAATAGATATGGACACGAGCGGTAAATCCTCCGGTTTCAACTTCACTGGGAAGTTTAAAGCACCGAAACTGCATCAGTCTCTGAGAGAAAGTCTTAAGAGTAGCAAACATCCAGAACTTCTTGAATTTGCAAAGGAAACAGAAGTTTTGAACATGAAGCGAAGGAAGGATGGACGGAAGAAACTTTTTTCGCTAGTACACGACCTGGACAATAACGGCACGTGCGTGAATTACGACGACGCACGAATAGATGCAGACGTTTTCCAGCAACACTTTGGAATGCGTTTAGTGTTGGAATGCGAGGAACTGAAGTTTCGTCTGTTGAGAACTTTGCACGATGGCAGTGAGGCAAACATTGAGCCGTTCTTTTTGTGTATTGCGTTGTTTGACGCTAAAATAGGAGCAAAGATTTCAGAGGATTTCCACTGTGATCTAAACGACGCGTCCACCGTGGAAATGCTCCACGGCTTGGATCTAATTGAGAACGGTCAGGCAAATGGGAATGGTGTGGATCATCCGGAAGTGAATAGCCGAGAGTTGGAATATACTTGTCCGAGAAAGGTATGACAAGCTGGACCAATGTCAGTATCTGAGCAACCGCGTACTTACCCCTTTCCCTAACCCAATTAACCGTCAGCTGATAACAAGTTAGGGTCAATGTCGGGTTACAAGAGGGGTAGGTGCGCGGTTGCTTCGCTGTCCACGTTCAATCACGTGGCTTTTTACCACTATCATTTGCGTATTCTGTGCGAGTAATCTGTGAGCATCACAAGAATGATACGTGGGAATTACACGCACTTGATGCGGGTGTAAAACGCTTGAAATGTAGCTCTATTTATTCTGAATGCCTTCAAGGTATGCCTTTTGCTATCCCGCATGTTTTTAATTAGGCAATCTTCTCCATAACAAATCCCCACTCGGAGGTGTACCTGGTAGTTAGGATAGAGAAAGTTTTACAAGGAAGCATCAGTTCGTGTGTCGACCAATACCTCAAGTCTGGTGACACCAAAAAGATTGCACAAAAGGCACACAAGCTGGCTGAGGTATGCTGCAAAAGTCTGGGCCAATATGGAATGCCATTTGCTTGGACAGCAAGGTTAGTTTTTGTTTATTATTTATTTATGATTTTTTCATCGCTGATTACACAATCAATCTTACGGTTATATTCGAACGAGTTTTTGTGAACACTGAGCTTCATCCTATTTTTGGACGCGGCCGGCATTTGTGGGTCAAGAAATTAACGGTAGTCTTGTTAGCTTGACTGGGTCCGGTGCAACCAGCCTTGTTATTAAGGAAATAGAACCAAACAGAACATAGTCAAGAAATTTTTTCTTGGTTTAATCGTGTTCTTTGAGTTTCCTTTTTTTTTCTTTCTTTAACCTTCAACTCCACTGAATGACAAGCACCTTATTTCTCCTAACGGTATTAATGCGGAATGAAACAGTCAGGTCACGAGAATAAAGGAAAAGATCGCCAAATAGTGAAGCTCTTGATTGTCAAACAAATTCTCCCTGTCTGTACCATAGGCAATGTATAGAAAACAACACGGAGAATAAACATATAGCCAGGTGTTATGGTGTGAAGGCTTAAGTGTTAACGAGAATCGACTTTAAGTTATACTATTGTCCTTTGTAGAAACAAGAGTCCACAAAGACGATATTTGTTGTTTCACGCTATTTTCCCTTCACATTTAACAGCAGTCTTCTGCCTGACATACCATTAGTCAAAATTATCTCTTAGAGAGTTCATGTCCTCAGCAAGACAGTTTATATTTATATTTTGTAGGCCGTTGTTCAACAATGATGGGGAACTGGAAATTGGGGAGTCAACGTCAATCTACAAACAGGTCCGTTCACGTCAGAAGATGTGTTTCAGATAACCTTTTTAATGGCAGAAATATTATGTGCTTTCTGGAGCATACTTTTGTTACCTCGTTCAAAATTAAGTGCAAGGATTTCCACGTGGACAATTCTTTCCGTATTTGTTTTACAGGACAGAGAAAAACTCAGCGATGAAGAAGTGATAAAACTGTTGTCAAACTACAGTGTCACGTAAGTCACTTTCAAAACGAATTCGCTAGACATTAAAAATGAACTTTAACTTTACTGTACAAAATAAGCGACATATTTTTAAACGGGACAGTTCTTAAAAATGCATGATTGCATTTAACTCCATTTAATGCCACATAATTAATTTGGAAATGATATATGATGGCCTTAGATTTTGTTCTGTCTGCTTATTTATAGAAAGGAAAAATTCAAGCAACAGGTTATACCAGGAACGCTGCATATTTCTCTAAAGAAATATTTCGAAGGAATACCAAGTAAGCGAAACTACGTAAAGCAAACAAAAGCGAAAAAGCCTCATCGACCTCGGTCAGGTTTTAACTCAAGGGTTAAAATTAAATCGTCAAAACTTTTCAACTTTTATTTCTGTACTGAATAGGTCATTTCACGTTTGTGTACTTAGTTACCAAGCCTTTGATTTGGAGTGAGGCTGAAGGTGACCTTGTTGTGATAGAGAGACCAGTATCTAGTTTACATGATAACAAAGTAATTTACATTTGATTCGCTGCAACTCTTGTATCATAACAAGGTCATCCCTCGCCTCACTCCTGTTCAAAGGCTTGTAAACCAAGCACACAACTGTAAAATGGACCATAAGCCAGAGGGGAAGAGTCGCGATTTTATCAAAACAGGCGAGGAAACATGCCATGTTTTCAAAGCCAGTCGGTTGGTTGCGTTTACACTTAATCAAAGATCGACACCTATGAAAAACTTGAAAAATGATAGGGGGAAATGAGAAAGGTTGAATTGGTTCTTGAGCGAAGACCTGCGCTACTTTTCCCTTGATTGCGATTTTAAAATATGGCTTCAGGCCCGTAAAAATTACCCGGGTTTTCAGAGAAACGAGCCCAAATCTACACAGCGGTCATAAATGGGGCATTCGCAAGGGGATCATTTTCGGGCGCCCGCGCGCCAATTTCCCGCGCAAAAGGTATGAGGAAACCATAAGATACAATCACCTTCTCGCAAAGTAAGCGAAAGAAAATTGAAATGTTCATGGAAATATGTAAAAAGAAACAAAGGTGAGGAAAAGGAAACGGCAGACTTTTCCAACACAAAAATTATTGGTGTACGGGTATCCTGTTGATTTACCATTCAGCTCACCGTATCTTCCATACTACATGGGGTATTGACTAACTTTTGTTTTCTCGATAGACTCTCTAACGTCGTCACTGGTTCCCGTGAAGCCGTGGGATGATTCTCTAAACGTTCGTTCCACAGTTGAAGTGGAAGAATTCTCACAATCATGTCCTGAAGCTGCACATCCACACATTTCCTACGTGAACAACTTTTACGTCTACCCTCTCGCTCTAAACTATAGCAATCAAAAAGTTTACTCCAAGGTAAAATGCCAGTTAAATATTTCTGTTCAGACGGACCCTGGTCACGCCTGCCTCGTTTTTTCTTCTCGTTTCCGGTTTTGATTTCAAGTCCATAACAGTTACTGTAACTCGCCATGTTATCTTTCCTCTTCAGGCAAGAAATATTTCTGTGAAGATTGAATTCAGAGATTCTGATGATGAAAATGCCAAACCTCTCAAGGTATCTCCAATTGTCTACGAGATTTACAGTCATTATTTGAGGTGTCTGTCCATCAGATTTTCTTTCACATATTATAGAATGGTCATATTAACAAAAAAATTGTTTCTGTGCAGTGTATATACAAGAAGAAAGGAAGCCCTGGGTTCACTACGCATGCTTTCGCTGCTGTTGTTCATCACTGCACAACTCCCACATTTTACGAAGAGGTGAGTGCAAGAATTATTTTACATCATAGCCTTTAAACAAAGGTCCGTTTCTCGAAAGTTCCCGGTGACTTAACGGGGCCTTAGCCTTAATTCAAAATCAGAATTTGAAGAATAGAGAAGGCTCTGTCACCGGAACCAGTCCATTATGTACCTTTGTACTTTTCAAAACCAAATCTTGAATGAAAACAGAACAACTTTGCGGGCCCGTTAAGCGAGACCTTTGAGAAACAGGCACCAGGTCCTCATTATTATTTCTACAGGATGCACGTTTCTCCACCTTCAGAAAGATTGGGAACGAATCGAGGGGAGATTTGCCGAGGGTCTGGCACTAAATATCATCATCAGTGCCAGACCCCTTGCAGACCTCTCGTTGCTCAAGGCCCACTGGCGAAGAAAGTGCGTCCCGGAGTGCTTCTAATGAGAGCTTGCTCCTAAGCTATTCTCATCATCGCTCCTTTATTCAGAAACGCTACTTGTCGTTCGACCGACAATTATGTTCACTGTTGATTTTGAAGGGTATACAGAGCTTATAAGCAAAGAGGGATAATCTTTTCCATATTTGGGGCTAATACTACTCCATTCAACTTTGATGCGGTACCTCGGCAACCTTTGTGGTATGTCATGAGCATACAGGCGTGCAAGGTTTAATGCTATTGCCTTTATTACTATGCTTAACCAAATCTTAAGTCTTCTGTGGGAAACGACTACTGCCCAGAAACTTGAAATGAAACTCTTTTCAAATGAATGGTGCTGCCTCAAACGGACCTTCTTTGGGATGACCCTCTGTTCGTTTGTTTGCAGGTGAAAATAAAGCTTCCTACTCAACTTACAGAAAAGCATCACGTATTCTTCACATTCCAACACATTGCGTGCGAACAGACCAAGAGCAGCAGTGGTACAGGATCAGTCAAGGGTAAACCTCAGCCCATAGAGACACCAGGTCAGTAACCCAAGGACTTATAGATTATTGACCGAGCGTGTAGCCAGTATGGTTGGATATCGGCGAAGTTAAAAACGTCAATGAGAGTATGGCCAATATCTAGCTGTCGTGAGCGAACAGACTTGGTTAACAAAGGATTTAGTAAATGGCCAAAACCCGTTTAGCGTTTTTTCCCCATAATCTTGAGCGTGTAAGGTGGACTTGAGTAGCCAATCAGAGCAGGGTATTCTCTTACTCTGGCTCGTTACAGAGCCAATCGCATAATGCATACGATTTGTTGATAAAGATCTTACTACTTTTTATGATCTATCCAAATTTATCAGTTTAAGTCTCTGGAGCTTTTACTTAAGCATTTCAAGAGAGACAGAGCTCTATCTTCAGACATGCACGGATATTAACGGGAAAACAACGAGGGCAGATTGTTTGAGCGAAATTCATTGATTAACGCACACTTTTTCCTTCCATTTGCTCTTCAGTTGGATATGCATGGATGCCAGTACTACATGGATCGATGTAAGTATACTAAACGAAATGATGACGTTTAAAAACATTCGTGTGAATTCAAACAAATCTGGACCTTCCCTTTTCCTCTTAGACCTAAATTACGTCTTAAATCTGACCCCTTCACTAGTTGTAATCCGTGTAGATTGAAATAAATGTGGGACTTGTTTGTTCCTATTATATTTGTGGCTTTCTAAAACTGACAGAAGGAAAGTCCGTCCTTGTTTTTTCAGCGTAAAACTCTACTAAGTAATTTTCCTTTTTAAACTGTGGAGTCTGGAGCTAAATAATCCAATTACTTCTTCGTTGCTTGGAAATCATAATTTAATATTAACCCATAATTGATATTTCCTTTCCGTAGCATTAAGACGGAAGAAAGTAATCTGTTAGTTGGCCAAGTAGCTCCCAGCGGCTACCTCTCAGCCTACTTTGCCGGACTTAAGAGGGTATTTAGATGAGTCTAAATTGTATTCGCTACCGTTTGCTGTACAGTTGTTAATGCAAAGATACAGTGTAGCATCTTTTTAATGTAAAATGGATTTTTCTTCTGATAGGATATCTTTCAAATTACAGTGGCACAAGATATAATAATGATGAGTGGAAAAGCAAATGTGGATTTAGAGTCTCTAAATTTCTCCTTCAGATCTTGCGTTCTCTCGGAGATATCTCGGAATTTGCATTCATTTTCGAAAATAAAAGAGAGGGCTGGAGTCAAAGGACTTGACAAGAGTTGCTTTTGATCTCTTTTCTGCGGCATGCAAAATTGCCTTCAACTTTAGGACAGCCGCACTAAAAATTTGGTCATATACTAATTATGAAAAACAACCAAAAGGCCAATTTGTAAGAATAAGCCAGAAAGGACCGTATATGTCCAAGGATGGAGAAGATTTCAATGGTTACTATTCCTAAGTTCGTACGTTCTCCGTCTTAACAGGCAACTGGCCCCGATCTAAAATGGGTCGACAAAGAGAAACCGCTGTTCAAAGTTTCCACCCGGCTAGTTTCCACAATCAACACTCTGGTAAGTGTTGCTGACAAAAGCATTATCCAGTTGAAAGTATTAAGTGCTTTTAATTTCTCAGTTATTTTTGTCACCATTTATATGTATTATTGATCTGTGGGTTTCGTTGCTTTTCTCATTGTTCGTCTGTTTGTTTCAATTTTTTTTTTTATTGTCCGTAGGATCTTGAGGTGGACAACTTTTTCCGTCATTGTCAGAAATTTGACGGATCGCCAGCTATGGATATTGAGATGGTGAAAATTCTTAAGGTAGAGATTGTGTGCAATCTTGTAACGATGTGTCATTCTCCGCTGGCATAATGAAACGAAATAGGTGGGGCCTGGGAATGGATCGTGTTCTTTTGTCGGGCAGTTTCGCCATCTTAGGCTCTTTCTTACCTCAGTATACACCCACCCAACCACTCGTAATTCCTATCTGTAGTTTTTATAAAAATCTTGTCAGTAATGAAGTTCTGAAAAGGATGTGCTCGTGTAAAATAAATGTCAGATTATGGCGATCACACTTGCATAGGTATCGTCCTTTCCCTGAGGTCTTCAAAATTGTTTAGCGTGATTTTTACTTCCCGCTATTTCACTTTTACAGCTGCTGAATGCTGTTGCTGTTGGCACAGTGGCAAGATTCCTGCCAGTTATCTTCAATCAGCTTTTTCATATTCTCGTTGTTACAGGAAACGAGGATGTTTCTCTAAATGTGGTCAGGTATGTGAGTTATATGCGATAGAAATACGCGATGATACGCAAATTTTCGTACATACTCTTACGTAGTGGAAAATTGAAATACATATGGTTGTCCTTTTCAAGCACGTTGGTCCCAAACCAGAAAAAAGTGCAAATGTACCAGGAGCAGCCACAGGCTCAAGCTTCTTGAACCTCACTGTAAGAAAGACGCGTTCAAAATTTCTTTTTTTTCCCAAGAACTGGTAGAGACTAGAATCAGCTCCTCCCCAATATGCCTGATGTTACGTCGCTTGCCGAATTTAAGAATTACCTTTGTTCATTAACTTAATAAGAACGTGTCGAGCGTGTCAATTTATATAGTTAACTTTTCATTGTATATTATACTTATTTTAATTTTTGCTTTTGCATTTTGTAAGTGGTTATTGTGTACCCTAACCGTGAATAAGGGGGCACTATGGTCCACGGCCATCTTGGATGTCAATCCGGCCTTGTGATTGGTTTATTTGTGCCACGTTGTACAAAATACTCTTCTCTGATTGGTTGTGTACCTTGTACTTCTGCTTCTTCATCTACTTGCTGTTTCTTGGCAGGGTGCTGATTCGAATCACGGCGCAACTCCACGGGGCGAACCGATTAGAAGCTTTGAAATCTTATGTCAAGGTTTGTATTTCTTGTGTTCTTTCGCCTGCCTGATAAATGGTCTTTCCAAGCCGGTGAATATCAGTATTATTGTCTCAAACTGAACTTCATACAGTTGTCTCATAGCATTCAAGGTGAGCATCAACGAAGTCCATCTTGTTGTGGAAGTATTTTAACATCAGTCTCACTCTTCTGTGACGCTCAAAACTACCTTCAGGGCGAGGAAAATCGTAAGCCAAAACATAAACGAACGTCAATTTTTTTCCTATAGTATGTATTCGTCACAGACCAGCCTCCGGACAATAAAAATACGATTCACGAACAACTCTCAAAATACTTGATGACGACTCTAAAGCCTGGCGCTGATCCGGCGGTGGTCAAAGATCTCATGAAGGTACAATATGTTTGCAAACTTCAACGAAAAGGGAGTGCAGAACATAGAATTTTAGGCTTTGATAAGGGTTTCCTTTATTCTGAACGGGTGCGGTGATTACTGCGGTTTTTGCTTTTATGAGTCAATCGTTAGGCGATGCAGTAGAGGAGGACTATGTAAGTGAAACAGGGTATCTGATTGACTTTCACTCATTAGTGTTAAAACTCAGAAATGTGTACATATGCTGATTTGTCTTGGGTCAATTTTGCTCGTGGATATGCGAAGCGTAGGAACGAGCCATGTGAGGATTCGATATGTAAAATACGTTACATCAGCACGGACTTGTGAGTCTGCGGAGAGCACGCGTCTTATTAATTGTAGTGGACTGATGATTAGATATGGCGGATCCATTAGGGAGGACTCCTGTGGGGATGGCGGCTCAATTCTGTTTCTCCGAATCACAGCGACATTGGCTTTTAATCCAATCATTGTATATTCTACTTATATTCTGCACATTATGTCCACTAGTTTACCCTAGTATTAATTTGATTTCGAGTTCCAATTAATTATAGGAAACAAAAATTGACACAGTATTATCGTGATTTGCGTTTTGAGAGTTTTACAAGGCAGCTCTGCTTAAAGAGAACTGTCTGCGTAATTATTTGTATGCTGAGATACTCAACTAAGATTTGTTTAAAGACGACAGCTTATCAGCTCATTCCTATTCATCACTTTAGGATGTAACTTTCCACCGTTTTGTTTATTTTTCAATAAAAACAGTTCATGCTAACAGAGCCAAAAGAAGGTCGTTGGCTTTAGCTCACTTTATTGTGTAAAACTGTGTTATTTGCTTCTGCAGTTGTCGTGGTTTTTCTTCGAGATAATCGTGAAAAGTATGGCTCAGACTCTCGTGCAATCAGACAAGTTGAAGGTAACTTCACAACATGCATTTCAAATCACATTTTATTTTCTCTACGTTTACTTTCTTGGATCACACGCAGTACTGACACAATTGTGTGTTAATTTCTGTATTTTACCACAAAGACCACAGTATCAAGTAGCTGAAGTATATTAGCTTTTTTGTAGATTCCAAGCGGACACAACCTGGCAAATACTGTAGTAACTTGGAAGAATCAACGTGAAGATCGCACATGCCGTGAAAACCCGTAGTAACCCCTTATATCGTAACATAATTACGCATATTCTCAATGTTATCTAAGTATGACTTTGAATCTCTATAGTTAATTCGCAACAAATAAATTGTATAGCAGGCTCATGAAATTATTACTGATCAGGTGCTTTTCTTTGTTGGATTATTTGCAGAGATTGAACCGTGATAGCTGGTTTCCAGAGAGCTACAATCGCTGTTTAGAGAATTTCCTTCAAGCTTTTGTGCCCCAAATCATCAGCAGATTAAAAGACCATCCCCAAATAGCAAAGGTTTTGTTTTTGACAATATTGTCTCTCTCGTTGTCGTCGTTTCGTTGATATCCGCTACATTGGTAAGAGTAATTTCAATTGAGTGTCGAAGGTAACCCGGGATTGCTTTGGTTTTACTCAACTTAACATTGCTCCGTGATTGGCCCAGAAAACTCGCCGCACCATCTTCTCAACCAATCCGATGCAAAAGCAGTTTGCTAGTTATCACTTTGAGTTCTCATTGGCTAATGATAACGTAAACCTTTCTTCTGATTGGTCCGTGGGATTACTTTGGTTTTATTTTTTTGGCACTCAATTAAACTGCTGTACTTGTAGACAGAGATAGAAAGTAAGTCTAAAGAATTAATTTTTACCTCGCTATTTTCATGACGTTCATTTATTGTCGTCCTTTAGGAAGCAAATTTCCACTTGGCTTGTTTCACCAAGGTATGCTAAACAGTTAATTATTAACAAGATCTTACCAGATGATATTCATCTGTGACAACTGAACTACGATTTAATTCGAGCGTTTCTTTCATTATCTTAAAGAATTGTCATCGTAGGGATAACAGTAGCTTTTTCCAATACTGCCGAGTAATTCTACCATTCTTCATTTGACTTCTGATGTGAAATTTTCTTTCGTTTTACGTTGATCCCCATTTTTTCAGTTTCCATTTTTTTCGGCTCAGTTTCTTCGCGTGTATTTCATTTAAAGTGATGTTTTTTTTATGTTTAGGACTGTTTCACGTACTTAGACCGTGGGTTTGTCTTTCAAATGATCAGTTATTATTCTGAACAGTTTAAAGACTCTGATACACAGGTAAACGTTTGTTTGTCTTATGTTATGATCGAGGGCCCTGCTAACCCCCCCTGCAACTAGAAAGAGGGTCCAACACCCTCCTCTCTATTCAGGAATGACACGTCCGTTTTGGTAGTAACTTTCTCCCTCTTTTTTGACATGGATATCTATCTTGACCGTTGGTCTTCTCGTAACTGAACACTCCACGGGTTTAACCTTTTACTGTAGTACTCTATAACCTTCTTCCTACTTCTAGCCATTGTTATTGTTGATGTTGTTGTCATATTTGAATAATGGCTCGATTCGAATAGAAATTTGAAAACTTTCCTGACATCTTTCCCCTTTGTTTGCGTCACAAAAGCAATATATTTATGTAGCTAAAGCACTGAATAACGTCATGGCATTTGAGTTTTTCGCCACTGGCGTACATCTCACAGAGTGAAAACTGTGCAAAGGGGGTAACTCGATCCTAGACTGGTTTTGAGTCTGTAATTTGATGATCCTGGTGGACAAATTCCTTGAAAAGCCCTGTCCATCTTGGATATATTTTCAACTTGACCGTTTGAAAGGGTTGTTCTGGTTTAAATTTAAACCTTACCGTAGACTGATTTTATCTGTGTACTTTTCAGATGCTTGAATTTAAATTCGAATTTCTTCAAGTTGTTTGCAATCACGAGCATTACATTCCGCTCAACCTACCATTGGACGTCAGAAGTACGTTTTAAACTAAATTTATTACTTTACTTTTTATTAAGTGTGATATTAAAGGTCGCACCGCACACACTCTGACTAGCTGAGACCATTGCGCAGCTTCTTATGGGTATTTTTGTAATAGAAACATTTATGGACGCCAGTAAGTTTCCCAGAG